ACTTTAAGGTTTTACGGGCTTTTCAGTTTAACGCGCTTTCGACCATTCTAACACTTCTATTTTACGAGGAAGAAGTATCACCCCTTAAAATCGTGCTCCCCCTTTTTGTTGAGAACTTGGTGCTGGCGCGAGCTGTTCAGAGTGCGGGTGTTCCTGGCTTTGCAGACCATATACCCTGTACATTTATAAATCTTTTATCCCGCGAATCAATTATCTCCGGGTCTTGAAGACCCAAGTTGGGTCTCTTTTCGGCACAACTATTTTTTTTTCTGACCCAAACCAACTATTTTTTTTTGGCTCGACCAATCACAGCTGCCCCCCAAAAAAAAATAGTTGGGTTGGGTTCATTGACAACCCCTAATGTGCTTGTTTCAAATTACCCGCATCTTGGGAAGCAAGCGCGGGGCACACTTGCGGGGGGTCCAGTGTGTCGGAGCAAACTTTACACTATCGTTCTTGCTGGTATCTCAATAAATGCTTCGCGATGGGAACCGTTCATGGAGTATATCTAAAATATGTGGGTCTATCTGCCATATCATATGCCGGTTACGCCTTCCTCGATGAAGCATTAGGAGATATTGATGACAGAACGAGTGGCGATGGTCTCCAAAGACTTGCCAAAGTATATTTGGGTTACTCCACTATTCTGAACGGAATTATTGCTGGGCTCTTCAAGTTGGAGTGGGGGATGTCAATTATTGGGTGCGTCATGATATGAATGTCAGCAACGGTGATTTCAACCAGAAACTAATTTAGAATGCCTTGCCACAGGAAGAATAAGGAAAGTGGAAAAATTCCGCTTTGGAGTTATATCGTATTCGCCCCATTTCACATGTAAGAAGCTTGAGTTTCCCAGATGAACAAATGCGTATTTACCTGCCACTCAACAAAACCTTTCAGTCCAACGCTTTTGTATACACATCTACATATTCGTTTTGGAAGACACAAAACCAAAGACGATAGCACAGGAAAATCTAGCTATGGAATTGCTCCCGTTGCTTCAGAAGTAAGCGAAGGTTGGTGGGTTGGCAGCTGTTACGGCCATGAATTGAATAAAGAATGGGGAGGTGTTATAGACCTTACAGTCGAAGTAGGTTCACTTCTGCTTTGCGGACAAGACACTCTCGCTGGACTAACAGCTCTCGCTCTTCAGTTTCCGGAGTCTTGTAGGAAAAGAACCAAACATTATCTCTCAGCGCCAACCTGGGATGGAATTCCTTTGCCTCCTGCTGAGCTGGAACACGCTGCAAAATTTGCAGTTGCGGCTAGGAAGGATGGTCATGTTCTTGTGCATTGGTAAATCCTTTCCGTGCCAAACATCTTTCGGTTGCAAACAATGGCTAACAACGATCTCATTTGAAACTCTCCACAGTGCGCATGGAAGGGGAAGGTGTGTAAACTTTTCGGATCGGCGACACCGCTTGCCTTGGTATAAAGTGCTAACCACTTTCTCTATTTGGGACAAAGATCGACAACCGTTATGTGCGCATGCCTTGTAAGGGAAGGTCTTTTCTCTTCATGGCAGGACGCATTTGGGCAGATTAAGAAAAATCGTAGTGTGTGCAAGTTGAACAAGCGAATGAGGGAGAACCTCGAAGCCTGGCAAAATCAGTATGTTGACTTGAAGAAACAGTAGAGCCTGGCGTGGTCCAAACAGATGGTCTCTTGCGCGTGCAAAATGAAGACGGGTTTAGGCACAATAGCCCAGAATCATGGATCTGCCTTACAGTATACTGTAGGAAATAGAGTACCGTTATGTTCCTTAGGTACTATTAGAGTTCTTAGTGACTCATTCGAGTTGTCATTACGTAAGCATTTATTTATTTCAAGCAAGCTCATTTGACGCATTACCCAAGTCAGCCTATTGTGTTCATCGACAAGCAAGTAAAATGAAAAGCGGAAAGTTTGTCATCGCAACACTCTTGCTCATCAACGCGCCCTTCGCGGGAGGCTTCGTACTTCCGAAGAACGAAGTACCTTCACATCTGGTTTTTGGACCTGGCTCAGTACTTCCGCAATCGAGCATCTCTGATAAGCATGGTTCAAGTTTTCAAGCAACATCATCTCCATCGAGTGACGTTCCCGAAACTTTGAAGGGTTCCGCGAAGAATGGGAAGTCCTTGGAGGAACTTCGCCTAGAAGGTGGACGTCTTTCTTTCAACACACCAATCGGGGCATTGAACCTGTTCGCCATCTACTATGGGCTGGTGTCACTTTTCCTTGCTATTCCTTGGTTTGCTGCCCTCAAAACCTGTCAGTTTGCGTACTGGATTACGGGAGGAAGATTTGACAAAAAGGTGAGTGAGAAATGGAGCTCGAGTCCGTCATTTGCATTTTCATTTACTGACGCAACTAAAGAGGCGGGTACCAGTTTTTTTGAGTCATGTATGGGGTGTTGCTTTGATGAGATTGACTCGATCATATCCAGAGATCGAAAATCTGGAAATCCTTGAGAAATTCTACGCTGAAGGGAAACCAGCGATGTTCGTTGCGAATCACTGTTCATGGATGGATATCCCTTTTCTTGGAGCAGCTGTTGGATGGAGAAACTACAAACTTGTTTCCAAAAAGGAACTAGGAATTGTACCCGTGCTTGGAACTTCAATCAAGGTTGGCGGTCATATCATGGTTGACCGAACGGATCGCAGGTCACAAGTAAGGACGTTGAAACAGGGAATAAATTACTTGAAGGTATGCCAAAGAATTGTTGAGTCATTGTCTCCACTCAAACGATTCATATCACAATACTTTCTTTCAACAGAAGGATGGAATTCATCTGTGTACATTTCCGGAAGGTACAAGGTCGCGTACAGGCCGTCTCATGGCGTTCAAAAATGGAGCATTTAAAATGGCCCACAAAGCCGGGGCTCCAGTCATTCCACTATCAATTGTCAACTCTCACAAAGTAATGCCCATTGGTTGGATGTTTGCAATAAAACCGTCTTACAGAACGGCGAAAGTAGTGGTGCAAGAACCAGTCGAGTCGGTAGGAAGAACGGAAGAAGAGCTTGCAGAAGCTGTTAGAACTAGTATGTTGTCCGGGCTGCCCGACGATCAACGCCCCGTAAACAAGTCTGAAAGAATGGCCGACTAACAATCTGGCTAAATATAGCTATTTTTGCTTGTGCCCCACTTGCTGTGCTGTTGCTGTGCTGTTGCTGTGCTGTTGCTGTGCTGTTGCTGTGCTGTTGCTGTGCTGTTGCTGTGCTGTTGCTGTGCTGTTGCTGTGCTGTTGCTGTGCTGTTGCTGTGCTGTTGCTGTGCTGTGCTAGAAAGATTGCATCCGATTTGTACCTCCCTCTCTCCGCCTGTTGGGGACGAAGCTTTTCTTGGAGATTAGGGGCTGGAAATTTTATCTCGAGTAAGCAACGAAGGTAGCTCAAGATATCCGTTGTTTGGTCTACTAAGGAAACATCATAAATTCAGCTGGAGAATGATTCCAATACCAAGAGCAAAGCAGGTATTGATGTAGTAAGTAGCTTCAATGAGACGATCGCACCAATGATCCGTTCAAATATTGATTTCACTGCATCAGTCAACTAGATATTAAAAGCACAATTGCAAACTAAACTATGGCTCCTTCATCCAATCATCGTTATCCCAAATAGGATGCTTCAAAATGTTTTTGATCAAAGATGTCCCTCGAAGAGCGCTAGTGAGGGGAAGGTGGCCCTCGGGAGCTTTCTTGACATCATAAATGAACTCGGAGGCACCAAACCAACGTTTTTTTCTCTCAACTTCTCCATCCTGTGTTGTCCAACCAATCTTCCTGCAGAAAACCTCGAAATCTTCTTTGGATTGCTTGAACTTTTTCTGCAGGTGCAGCAAATGAAGCTCTATCAGTACATTCAAGCGAAAGAAATACTACATTGAGTTCAGACGCAGAACGTACCTTTTGAACCGAATATCCAAACTTTCCACCAGAAAACTGATTCCATAGACGTTCGATTGTTGCTAAATCTGTGTTGGGAATGTTCTTGACATCTGTGAAATAAACGAAGTCACGCTTTTTGTCTTTTGCACCAGAAATGACGATCAGAGCATCGCGAGTAAACTGTTCAGTGGAGTTTGGAAGTTAGAAATGTTGCGACGCAGGCAGGAAGAGAAATGGAAAAACATTTAAATCGTACCTGGTCGGCTTCTGCAAGTTGACCAGTCGCAAGCATTGTTGCAAGAGGGATGTAATCCATACCACACTCGCTGGGAAGGTTGGTTGGGATTTCAACGTCTTCAGTATCCGAAGCATCACTTGATACTGGTGGGACACCGCTTGAGGCCATTGAGGCCATTGAGACAACAGCATTTCGTTTGGTACTGGTTTGAAATACTCCAAACGCGTTGACCAAGCTGTTGCAGTGGCACAAAGACCAGCTGAAAAACAAGATGGAAACAGACAACTTCACCATTTTGCAGATATATGATGCGGGTAATCTAAAGTTGAAGTTTTCGTTCACTTTCACGTGGAAGCAACTTCTTTGTAGGAGGGGGGGGGGATGGGGAGGACACCAAATGGGGTTTGATCATATCCCCCCATACTATTATTTTTCGAATTTTGCAGAGCCACATGTACAGTAACTCATTATACCGGTACTGTAGGACCTCTACTGTAGGAGTTGGTCACGTAAACCCCAACCCTAACCCGACCGAACATGCCAGAACCCAGAGCTGGCAGCGAAGTGGAGAAGGATCCCAGCGAGCTCCTGAAGGAGATCGAAATCAATGACTTCGAATTGTCAGGGGACGAAGAGGAACAAAATGAGGCCGGGAAATTCTCGTGGGACAGCATCGACTGGGCAGAAAGACTAGAAAGAGACGAAATATTCAGCAAGCGCTACACGCCATCTAGATCGGAGGCTAAGGAGCTAGAACAGATAGCTGCCGATTTATCAGTTTCATCACGAGGCAGCATCATTGGGATGATTCAAGGAATGGGTGGACAGATGTCGCAAGGTCTCGAGTTCCTGCTGCATGGTGGCCACTCGATCATTGTCAAACGAGGAAATTTTCTTCGGGAAGACGATGACTGCGACCTTGTCTTGTTTACAGATGGGTTCCTTTTGTTGTACAGAAACGTCAGTGCTCTCAATCCGCTAGCAAAACGATACGAGTGTCGTATGTGGAAAGGTGTTAGAGTGTGCTATCTTGAGGGCAACTCGGTCATTATCGACACACAAGATGGTGCCACTGTTAAACTTTCTCCTAAGCCCTCTAGTGAGGATCCTGTTGACTGGATTAGAGCACTGGAACGGATCTTAATCGAATATACGATTCACAATCCTAGTAGCGAGAAGTTGACCGATGAAGTGGGGTGGCAGTACAATCTAGTTCGCAAGCCAGCATTCTCTGCCGCTGTGTCTGGCGATGTTTCCATCATGGGAGAGGCCCAAGATGTTAACGCTCTTGATGAGTACAACTCTTATGCACCATTGCACTATGCATTACAGCATGAGACTTGCAACTTGGAGATAATTGAAAAGTTGTTGAACGCAGGTGCAGACCCAAACTTAGAAGATAACGAAGGAAGAACTCCAATGTATTTTGCCGAAAAAAATGGCTTGGACGATGTGAAGAGCTTACTTGAAAGCCGAGGGGGCAAAACTTCCAAGTTGACGAACATTGAGGCTCGCGGGGAACTATTTGGTCGGTTCGAGCAATCACAAATCAATACCGCGAGGCGCCGAGAGAACGAGAGGGTAGCAGAGGAGCGAAAGGCTTCTGAAGCCGCAGCAAAGGCCAAATCAGTGCAGGACCAGATGAGCAAGAACATGTCCGCTCTAGTAGAACGGGGCGAGAAAATCGAAGAGCTTGACAGCAAGACAAAAGATTTGGAAGCAGAGGCACAGAACTTTGGCGTTATGGCAACTCAGCTCAAAGAAACTATGAAAAAGAAAAAGTGGTATCAGCTGTGAACAGTTGGGACCAAAGCAAAGGCTTCAAGAAGGCAACAACAACGGCGAAAGTTTGGAAGCCATGTGTTTATTAATGTTTCTCACTCAACGAAGGACAGAGCACTGTGAGTCAAACTAAAGAAATGTTGTGGTCCAACGGCACGAGTGCAAAACAGTTTAAACACTTCACAAATCCATATCAATAATATTTATAAAACGAATGCGATAGCTTTTTTGTTTGGAGTGAGGTCCCCTCCTAAAACAAAAACGGCAATTGCCCCGAAAAAAACGCTGGTGGTTTTTTCTCAAACTATGACTATGAATATTCCAGCCAATGGAAATATGATATCATACCGCAATTAACTGTCTAAGGTATGAATTAAGAAAAGTTGAAAGGAATTATACTACTGTACAGACTCTTGTCAATCGGGGGTTGCTGGAGCTACCATACATATACGTCGCCTACAAGAAAGATTTTACTCTGAACTCACTCCGGTGCCTTTTTGACGTAGGCATGACAGACGGCAAAATCTGTCAAATGAAAAGTGGGAAAAGTACTACTGTACCTATGAAGTCAGAGCAGCAAAAGCGGACACGTATAGTCGACGGGGGCAAACGACTTCGCACGGTTGTCAATTGCTAGAAGTTTCCCTACTTGCAAAAACAGTCCATTCAGCGTTTCACTTGCCGTATTTCGTCTTCAAAATCCAAAGCATTTGCATCGTAACAATGACAATGACGCCGGAAATACCCAGGACCAATGCCGAGAATGCTGATTCCAATGCTGCGCTGGATAGCCCTGCAAATGAAAAAAAGATCAGCGGCAGCAGCCCTAAATCTGCAAAACCTCCGGGGTCTCAATCCAAATTGACTTACATCCAAATGGTTACGGATGCAATCATTGCCTTGAAAGATAGGACAGGGTCGTCGCAGGTGGCAATTAAAAAGTATATTCTTTCGAAGCATCCTGAAATGACTCCAGACAAACTCAAAACAAACCTGAACAAAGCTCTCAAGTCAGGTCTCAAGGTTAATCGCTTTTTAAAAAACAAGGCGTCCTTCAAGATTCATCCTGATTTCCGAAAACAAATGAAGGCCAAGAAATCAACAGCTAAGATAAAAGTAAAGAACGAGATCACGACAAAGCAAGGAGAAAACGAAGACCGACAGGCTGCCAAAGAGAAAGCTCGCTTAGATCGAATCCGCAAGCGAAAGTTTCCATTAGAGGATTGGAAACTTGTCGCCGAAGATAAAGAACTCAATGTTTCAGTGAAACTTCCTCGGCGACCCGCTTTTGCACTTTTGTTTCCCGATGCAGCGGCAGCTTGCAAGACAGATACCAGGAATTCAGGATTGATGGAAGATGTCTTTGTCGTTTATCATTTCTTCAGAGGAGACATAGGCTGGGGTTTGGACGAAAGCAAACAGGTAGCCCCATTCACGCTTCAACACCTACTTGAGTGTACACGCCAAATAGTTCTGGGGTCCGCAAAACGAGCTCGGATAATTCCTCCCTTGGTCGTCCACCTCTTTACTGTTGCTTTGCAAAACCTGGCCCCTGAAGTTTTACAAGTTGCCCTTACTGCAGGTAGCTGGTCAGAAGTCCTGGTTCTCTACATGGACGCAATGGAGCGATTCTGTGAGATTAGTCAATCTGAAAATGTGGGTGAACTCACAGGTCACACAATTGACGTGGACTACTTGTTCGGAGACAGCGATGAGCATAGGGACGGAGCACTTCCTGAGTCAACTTCGCATGGCCCGTATTATTTCGACGCAAAGCTCGCAAAGATTCATTCGAAGTTGCTTTCTAACGATCCTTGGATGCTCAGCGCCGACGAACTGTTTTGCTTGCTCAGAGCTTTGGTTGATGATTTGGTTGCGAATTCATTGGACGTTGCCTTGGAATTAGACGATCGGCTTCAAACAACAACTGAGCTTCTTAAGAACAAGCGTATTGCTGATGCCAACTATCGGAAGCTGCAAACCACTAGAAATAGGGAACTACTTGAACAGAAGCAAGAAGAGAAAGAAAGAATCGAAAACGGAATCAAAGCGACGCGGAGTAATACAAAGACTTGTTCAGTCAGCGAAGCTCAGTTGGACAGCGCGAAACGAAGCCAGCAAAAAGCTACAAGTCTCTATGAAAAGGCGATGCAACAAAAACGAATTAGAACGCTGCCAATCGGCTGTGATCGTCAGCATAATGAGTATTTCCACTTCCATAACGATCCTTCAAGGTTGTTTGTTAGAAAACGGGGGAAGACAATACCCTCTACCTTCCCTTTCAAATTACAGGATTTAGAGAGCTTTCGAGGGACTTGGCAATCTGTTGACGAGCGATCAGTTCTCGAAGCTGTCAAGGAATCTTTGGATGTCCGTGGTGAACGTGAGCTTGGACTGAGTCGTGCTCTTGAACCTGTTTGCAAGATGGTTTTTGACGATATCAAGGAATCATCTGAGATTAAGCAACAGCAGAAGGGAAAGGAAGAGCTTGAGCGTAAGTTGGAGAATGCCAAGCTCAAGTGTGAATTTGGACGCAAGAGTGGACGGCTAGTCGCCCAGTCTGAAAAAGAGGTATTTTCGTTACAAGCGGAGGTGGATTCGCTTGAGCATAATATTGGCAGCCAGAACAAGATTGAAGAAGTTGATGTAGAAGAAATAACAGGTTTGAATGCGCTTCGTTCATTTGATAAGTCTGGCACTGTCAGCAGGGCTTCCGACATGCATTCTAGTGAACCAGAGAACTACAGACCAATCCATGTTCAATGCAGCAACTTATGGTCCACTGGAGGGAATAATGGGACTGGCCTTGTTGGATGCATCATCAGAGATCTGTTGCAACTGGAAGAGCGCGTTGAAAGGTTGACAAGTGCTACAAGCATCAATCGCAGGACTCTGATTTCAAATCTTGAAAGTGCTTCTCAGGCCTGGCACGCAAATATCGTGTCATCAGTTGAAAACAATGTAAAATCATCCAGCGCTGGGGAAGAAAAGAATGATACAGCCAGCACAACTCCCCGTACTCAAGCACAAACGGCCACATCCTTGTCTGCCAACCAAATTCTAACCATGCTCAAGGTACGCATTTAAGACACGTTCTTGCAAAAGCTCGTCACCAGAGCTAATCGCCAATGTGTTTTCAGCAACCTGTATTGCTTCTAGAAGATCGTGTGTTTCAGGTCTCGGGATTAGCTGTTGCATCACAGGATGCCGAGGATGCGGATGATAACATGTCAACGAGCCCAGAAGGATGCAAAGCTGAGGAACTGGGATACGAATGGAAACGATTGGTGCATCGCCTTGGTCGTATTCCGGCAAAAGCCCATTCAAGAATTCGTCGCACTCTTGTAGAAGCAATTTCAGCTGCAAGGAAGGGGCAAAATGCTGCTGTGGTTGCGGAGCTCAGAGACGCGCTTCTTCAATATCATCCTGGTGCGGCTGGAGCGTGCAAGGCAGCAGCACTTTCAGTCTTGGAACAACACGGCGGATTCATTGAAGAAGATGATTGTGATATCGAGGGAATTGAAGATTCTGATACAATGAAAACAGAAGCAACAGTGAACGACTTTGCTGCGGCCCTCAGTGCAGAAGCAGTAATTCTGAGTAGTAGTCTCGAGGGATGCGAAGATGCAACTCGCGCGGACTGGATAAACGCGGTAAAGAGAGCGAAGACTTTCTCCAAACTTGCGGCCTTGGCAGCTGGATTCCATACAAAGGCTTCGAAGTTGCTCAACAAAATGGAAGAGGAACACGATTCACTTATGAAGGCCATCAAAACATGGGAGAAGGTCGCTGCGTCAAAAGGGCCCTTAAAGAAAGATATTGCAGAATCTTCGGAAGTGTGGGCCGAAGTGAAGCACAATGATGATTTCTGCCTAGCCAAAATCCCCCCATTCCCATGGTGGCCTGCACGAAAAGTTACAGCAAAAGACAAACATCTAGGCGACGCATTGCGAAATTTGGATCGATGCTTGGTGTCTTTGGTAGGCGAACTAGGGGGGCTTCGAGTTGTAAAAACTGGAAACATCCGTTCTTTTTCTGACGAGTTTCCTGGTGACGAGGATTTGACTTCATACTCGAAAGATGTTCAAGATCAACTAGATGATTGCATGAAGATGGCACGCCGCATAATTCGAGGTCGATCAAAGACAGGTTGAATAATTTTATTGATCGGAGTAGTTAGGGTGAAAGATAGCTGAAGTTGTTATAAAATTGCAATCTCACAATCATCTGAAGATTGCGTCCTTCCTATAGAAACTTTGACAGACTGTTCGCAGTCGAGTGGGTCTTATTTTCTCATTTTCTTTTTCATCGACTGGGAGTAGCTTTTGTAGTAGCAGCGTATGCGATCTCGTACCATGGCAAAAGTGAAACTCTCAAATGCAAATCCCTGACTGGACGCAAGGTCCAGTAGCTCCCGAGTCAAGGTGTTGTTGAATCTTCTCTGTTCTGGAGTGTAGTTACGGGACGAGAATTCAAAATAAGCTCTCTTTTTCTGCAACAAATAGTGCTCCAACTGCCCAGAATGTTAGCTAGTCTCTCTAATACTTCCAGCGCAATCGAATCAGCACATCATCTCCTTACCTCTGGGTATAGTTTCCATGAAAACTTTCGTCGAAGGGTTGCCCGGACTTTTGCTCTTGGAATTTGGCCAACAAAACTACCATCCTTCCGCTTTTTTATTGTTTGTTGAAGTGATTCTTTGTAAGACCCAACACGTTTGGACCAATCATGGTGTTCTATCAAATCTGGCACAACAGCTCTTGGTTGTGGTCTCACGGGCGAAATTGACGATGGCGACAGAAGAGGTGAGGAGGCAGAAGCTCTGGCTGATGGGTCACGTGTCAACTCTTCGGTAGCAAAAGAGATGCTTCTTCCTCGTAGCATTGGGCTCGTCGGGGCGCAATGCCGTCTTTGAGGACTACGATCCAGCAAATTCAATTTTGCAACGGGATCTACTACTTCTACTTCTTTTGCGGCAATCGTCTTCACAGCTCGGAGCAGACTGGCAACAGCCTCGTCATCCAAGTCACGATTCCCAGCAACTTTGGTGCGGGTAGCTGTAGACATTAGAGGCAACTTTCAAAACGGCAAAGGAATGCTTGTGTGCCTGCCATTTCCTTTGTTTTATCTCAATTTCTTCCAATGGAAAAATTGTACTATACTCTTATGATCCCTCCATTCATTCGGTGTCTAAGCCATGGTATCTTTCAAAATGCATATATTCAGAAATGTATATTTGCATACATAAAATGAAAAGAATTCGAATTCCGACAGAATTCGAAGTACTATTCGGAGTCGGAAAGCTGATGCAGTACCACCAGGCAGGTATCTGATATTGCACACAGGTACCGGTATTTTAATAGTACTACGCGAACCAAGTTTGTAGCAGAAGTGTTTTTTTTGTACAAACTGGCATCCATTTTGATAGATATTCTCCAAGAGGCACTGTGGAAAAGATAACAAGACTACGGATAGGATGCGATACTGGAGAGGCATGCCTGCCTGCCTGCCTGCTGGAAGAAAGCGTTTATTTTAAGTGGTGCCCCTCCTTTACTTAAACTCTTGGCTTGTTTCCACCCAAAATGTAGCACTTCCTTAGTAACAGGTATCCAACATGCAAGTTACCTTTTAGATTTCTCCTTTAGCGACCCCTGGCTGTTCATGGAGTGACTATCCTACCCTTGTATTTTCTTGTATCATTCTTCATCATATACAGTACAGTGTCATCATCACGGACTCGTCCGAAATGACGTCATTCATTGCAAGAACGCGCTTCTGTCGTGTGTCACGCCGAACCGGACACAAATTCGTACGACAATTTTAGTACCAGTAAGATACCAAAAGTAGTTTTCTTTGATGGAGGTTTTCTGTGTTCTGATACCGATTTCATTGATTGCATTGACAACTCTTCTGTCAAATATTAGTTAAACTATTAAGTGAATCGATTGTAGCCTTTACATTGAATAACATTGCACGAGCATTAGCAGCAGCGCCTGTGATGATTTTCTTGAAGTGTAACAGAGTACCGGTAGATCCTGATGGGAATTGCGCTCGTAGGATGATGCCACCAATCGGAATGAATAGGAGAATCATCTGCCATCGCATCGCATCTGAAAATGAAGCAGCAAGCTTGCTTCTATCGATGTCTGGTATAGTATCAGATGAGATAAAGAACAATGCGTGTCTTTTGGACGACTTGTCCAGCGACGAAGCCCTTATCCTACAATCCAAAAGAACACAATTAGTCGTACCAAAAGGAATTACGCAATGCGACGACTCTGATGGTAAATTTACTTGGAACAGAGTTCGCACTGTATCAATGGACGCTTCCAGTGTGAATTCGAATCCGGGGCACCAAGGGTCGAACCTTCCAACAAAGAAGCAGGAGAAGAGATCGAGTCGCGTTTTGCGGAAAGCCAAAGGAAGACTCACAGACAATGGAGAACGGAAGAAGAAGAAGTCTGTCCACTCAAACGTCGGAAGGCGGAAGTCTTTCAAAAAGATATTGAGGAAAAAGTTCTCATGGAAAAATTACCCAGGCAAGCACAAACCGGTACCTTGTCACAGTGCACTCTAACATTGCGCCTCACACCCACTTTGATTCTCGTCACGTTAGAGCTTGAAGCCTTCCTGGTTGCAAATAGAGAAGAATACTTAAGGCACTCAGCCCTGAACTACACAATCCAACAGAAACAGTACAACAACCGACTCACCGAGCGTATGCTTGAGCTCGCAGCTGAACACGGATACATCTTTGATGATACTGAGTTCAGTTTTGTTACGGTGCGGGATAGAATTCGTTGCTATTTCAAGAGCTACGTACAGTCAGCAAAGAAGCGCGGCATCATAATCGGATATGCGGCACGAAAAGCGGGACTATTGAGCACAGAGGAGCTCGAGCGCAGTGCTGAGACGAAGGGCGAAATTCACAGTCCAGAGAACAAGTTCTAGATGACCTTTTGTCTGTTGAGAATCTCGATGATCACAAATGGGAAAATTCCTTTACACCAGTTGGCTTGCCACTGAGTGAACATAGTTGCTCTTCACTTTCTCTTCAGAAGTTGCAACAGCGCATACATGCTTTATTCATAATGTAGATTTTTTTGTATATCTTATCAAATTTTTTAGTCGTGCTGTGTTACTCTCATCGCAGAGTATATGTCCAGATTGTCACATCGATGAATAAGCCGTCCAACGTGTCTTGAATCATAATGAAATCCACATTTGCAGCATGCAAAAGAAAAAGGTCGTCAAATCTGAAATCGAAAGGGTACTTATTTTGGGGACATATATTAGTCCTTAATTGACTTTGGGTTTTGGTCTTGTTTCAGTGCAGTAGATATCATAGACCAATCATTCATTACTTTTGGGACCTGCTCCAGTACTAGCAAACCACATTTTCAATTTGACTACCAGGTACCTCCCAAACTCAGACACTTTTTCAAACTGACTTACAATGTCTTCAACTCCATCGTGGCTCGACCATGGTGCAGACCCCTCTCCCCCTCTCCAGGATGAGAGCCTCGACGTACCAGCTGCTGACACTCCCCCGCCAGCTGAGCCCTCGTCATTTGCAAGTGCAGATGAAAAAGATTTGCCAACAATCATACTCTACATGAGGCTCGCGAACATGGGAGCTGCTGTTGCGTTGGTCACAATTTCTGTAAGAGAGATGAAAATGTTTGCCGTTCATCGACACCAGATTTTTTGAATGAAAACGAGGATTCTTTGCCATCTCACGCAAAGTTTTTCTTTCTTTAGGTTCTTCTAATGGTGTCTTTGCCCCCCCTTTCTTCCTTTGTGTTGGCGATCTACGCAACTTGTGGTGGATTGTTAATTTGCTGCTTGGAAACACAATTGAAATTCCTCAGGGTGATCATTGCTGTAAATTTCGGATTCCTTTTCAACTCGGTATGGCGCTTTATCTTTTACATGGTGATTGCCTCTGTCTCCTGGTCGTACGATTCCATTCCTGGCAAAGTCGTGGCTGGAGTTTGGATAGGAATTGCCATTTTCAACACATATGTCCTATGCCGCTACCCTGGATACCGTCGCATTCGCGAGAAGATTGCAGAGGAGGAAGACAAACGTATTGAAGCACGCATTTCGAAAGAAGTGAAACGCCAAGCAGTGAAACAAGCCTCGAAGTAGTTCAATTTCCTCCCATGCCAGAGAGTTGTTTAGTTATCGTCACCACCATATAATAATTAGATTTTAGCTAATTCTTGTGAGCGGGCGATCGCAAGTGAAAAGAGACGGGGGCTTGTAACTTTTTCTCTAGTTAATTGATTTGTGTGCCAGAGTTTAAGTCTCAAGGACGACTACTGCATGTACCGGTATTGTAGCGGGGTCGAATTGGATTTCAGTTTGTAGTGGTCTGTCCGTCCTTTTTCACATACCTATTTCATAATATTTGTTTGCATGCCGGTAGTGCAACAACACTTTTGACTATATTTTAACAAAATTTCAAGGCAGAGCTTAGCAAGTTGACAAGTACAAGGACCAGAGGCATTGCAACAACATTGAGAATTTCTCCTTGCTATGCAATGGCCGGGAGCTCTTTCCACTCGAATCGCAGAGTTCGAACAAGTGGGACTTCAGGGTCACAAGTTGCATCTGATATAGCCTCAAACGAAAGTGTTGGGGCCAGTACTTTACCCATGCAACACAGCATACCTTCCGCAAATGCATACACTAGCTCTTCAGCACCCTACATGCAGCCACAAAATCTGACAGCTGAAGCCGTCGCCTCACTTCCACCCCCAGGTACGTAGCTTCTGCATCATACTCCAAACCTAAGAGTAAACATCTCTAATTATTTCTGCACAATAGGGCTATCTGGGCCATCGTCACTAGAGTTCGTTCCGGGAAGGAAACAAAGCGGACGAGCAAATTTCTTGGTGTTTGTATCCACTTCAGCAAAGTCCCGCTCAGTTCTCGCAAATCGAAGATCACGGGCGAATGTTGATCCTGCGTTAGCTGCTGCAGCGAACAGCGAAAGGCAAATATGCATCCTCGATCTCCACACATTTGAGCAAAGGCCGCTACTGAAGATCCCTAGCAAACGTCGTTTCGACAGCAGTGAGCACCAGCAATCCAATGCTTCTTTTACGTCTGATGCGCTTTCGTTAGAAGAACGGCTTCGAAGAGAGAGGCAAAGACTAAATGCTTCCGGAAACTTGACTCAATTTTGCTGGGCATACGATGAAAGAGAGGTTCTACGGGTCTTGGTTCCTATTCGAGGCAGCCTATACGTTCAAGATGGTGTAGATTCCTATCTCAAAGTATTGTATGACAAGCACTCATTGGACCACCTGGCACGGTCGTCAAATATCTCTCCCCCTCCACCTACTGCGGCAATAGACCCACAACTAAGCCCCGACGGACAGCTCTATGCTTTCTGTGCTTTGGGAGAAATTTTTGTATCGTCTGCCAGCGAATGTCAGCAACCGGTGCAAATCACATTTGGTGCTGATTTAAGGCGCTCCGTCTCACATGGCTTGGCTGATTTTGTGGCACAAGAGGAAATGGACCGCTACAGAGGGTTCTGGTGGTCTCCTGACTCGGAGGGAATTGTTTTCGCCAAAGTAGACGAGTCGAAGATACCCCCTTACCGAATCATTCATCACGAGCATGAAGCAACGTCAAATAGTTGTGTATTCGAAGATCATCGTTATCCATTTGCTGGTAAAGCAAACCCAAAAGTCCGGCTCGCCTATGTCCAAGTTGATTCAGCTTCCCTTGGTTTCAAAGGTCATGGTAGTTCGGACATGAGCAGTAGTCAGTATTCCTCCCGGCCGTCGAGCCACCCTTCGGAGATAGCGGAACACTATTGGAGAAACACAATTTGGTTCGATCCACCAAGAGAGGCGTCAGAGTACTTGGCCCGTCTCACTTTTTTGCCTGATGGATCGGCTTGTGCGCAATGGCAAAACCGGACTCAGAATTGTTTGGTACTATCGAGAATGGATTTGAATTCTGGAAGGACAAGATCCTTGCTCGTCGAGCGTTCGGATAGCTGGATTAATCTACATAGGCTGATGCATTGTCTCGGTCGGCCAATACACCCTCGAGAGTGCGATGCTATGGGCAGCTATCAACACTTGCCAGACACCTTGCCCGAAGATTCATTTTCTTTTGTTTTTGGCAGTGAACGATCTGGATTCTGTCACCTGTATCTCTATACATATATCCCCAATTTTAACGCAGACCAGGCCATGCTGATACGTCAACTCTCCGCAGGAGATTGGATGATTGAAAGCATCGCTGGATCTTCTTTGAAGCACAACGCAATATATGTCACGGGTACCTTCGATTCTGTTTTGGAAAAGCACCTTTATGCGTTACCGATTCTTGCAAATCAGAACGCTCACCTTCAGCTTGAGAGAACGGTCTCGAGTTATCCTGTTCCACAGCCAACGCACACTGGTAATCAGAATGGGGTGCGACGCGGACTAAAGCAAGTTATTGATGCCCTTTCTGGAAAAAGTTCTAACTCTGCTCTCGACGATTCTGAAACGGACAACCATAATGGTCCAACATCAATGGTAATGGAGACCACTGGCACACCCCCAGGAGTCCCCAACTTGAATCTTTTTGCGTCAACGCCGTTGCGCTTAACTGTTGAGAGTGGTATACATAGCATTGTGATTGACCCTGACTGCACGAAGATGATTGATACCTGCTCAGACTTGGGACGTCCACCGACTGTCAAGATATTTGAAATCCCCGAATATGGACCCTTCCATATGTTGCAATCGAGTGCTCGAATCGCTGAATTGCCTCTGCTTTTCACCCTTTATGATGCAACGCGGGATGATAAATCCATGGATCTATCGTCCGAGTTTTCGACTGGCCTCCTGTCCCCCGAGTTGATGATGTTCCCGTCATCAGATGGGACAGAAACATTGCATGCAGCTTTGTATAGACCTGATGCACGTGTTCATGGCCCAGGGCCATATCCGCTTGTATGTGCTGTCTATGGCGGTCCGCATGTTCAACGGGTCAACCGGAGCTGGAGTCAATGTGCAGATATGCGAGCGCAACGATTGCGGTCTCTTGGATTTTGTGTTGTAAAGTGCGACAATCGGGGAAGCTCAAGGCGTGGAACAGCCTTTGAATCCGCAATTGCGCGTCGTCTGGGTCGCATGGAAGTCTTGGATCAGGTAGCTGTTGTGCGACAGTTGACAGTCCGTGGTATTGCCGATCCAACTCGGGTCGGTATCTATGGATGGTCCTACGGTGGGTATCTCTCTGCTATGTGCTTGTGTCGAGCCCCTGATGTTTTTCATGTCGCAGTTGCTGGAGCTCCAGTGACTTCTTGGGACGGATACGACACTCACTACACCGAGCGGTACATGGGGCTGCCTTCTGAAAATCCAAATGGCTATCGCGAGTCAGCTATTTTTGACCATGTCCCAAACATGCGAGGAAAGTTGCTTTTGGTCCACGGTTTAATCGACGAGAATGTTCACTTCCGGCATACTACGCGGCTAATCAATCGCTTGATAGCAGCAGGGAAGGACTATGATCTGCTGCTGTTTCCAGATGAACGACATTCTCCAAGAAGACTGCGCGACAGAATATACATGGAACAACGAATATCGGATTACTTCCTCAAGCATCTGTCTAATTCACATAATAGTGCTCCTGTAAGGGCTATGGCAGGACTGTAAGAAATGCTTGCTACATAGATAAGCTAGAGATATTTTCAATATTCTGGCGATGCTTTTGCTTATCACAGTTAAACACCAGGATTGCATACCCATTACTGTCATCACTCTAAGTAAGTTACCGAAGCTTTGATATCATTTGCTTGAAAGATTATATCAATAGACAACCAACAGACATTCTGTAGATAGTCTGCGCAGACTACAGTATTTTTCAGTCATCTTTTGACCGTTTCACTTTCGTACTTCTCCATGATAGTGGTACTCTCACCCGCATTGTTGACGTCAGACATTCCCACCTCTGGAAGCGGTCTCCTGTCGCGTTCGCTATCATCTGTCTTTATTGCTCCTGCAGATACTGATAAAATAACCGTCCAAAGCAATCCGCATACAATAAGGACTGATATTTGTTGGTCTTGCTGCAAAGTGATCAACGGGGGAAACAAATGCTTGGTCAGAACACAATTCAATGAGCAGGTGCCATTTTTACAACAAGTTTCATCCTACCGGAATGTACGCAAACGCCACAAACTGAACTGGGATCCAGAACAAAAGATTCCGTTTCATCAAAGGAATAAAAGTCTTCTTCGCTCTTTCCAGTGTCTCTTGGAAACTTAATCCTTGAACGATTCCAGTGATGGTGAAGAAAACAGGCTGTTGTCCAAACATGTGAGAGCGGTTGATAAACGAAACTGAACAACATTTCGATTCGTACGCACGTAATATATTGTCGGTATAATTACCAGCTGGCTAATTAGCGTTTGTTCGAGTGGACCAAGCACTGCAGAGGAGACTGGGAATGACGCATAACCAAGGCTTTCGAGCAGTCCAAGAATATGCTGGCCTTGAAACTCTGCGATGAGTGGCGGATATGTCACTTGTTGGACGGTTCGATAACAACCATCGAAAACAGCAAATGCGGCTGCACGATTAACGTCGTACGGATCATCGTCGCGCAGCTGAGAAACGGTCAATGCGGTGTATGTGAGAGAGAGAGTCAATATTAAAAGTCCGAATCAGTTGGTACTTCCGAGTTGAACACAATGAAAGAACGCACCTGTGCAATGAAATCACCAACAATCGCCAATATCACGCCTATGGTATAATGGGAGACAGTGGGTCAGAGAGACCTCCAGAAGAATGAATCACCGAATGCGATTCCTTACCTGTAATTATCTTTGTTCTGTACGGGCGTTCCTTTAGAAGCATATTGTACTCCGAAATAAGCTCTCCAATTCCATTTGCACTCTTAGATTGTTCGCTTTCAAAAGTCGAGGCCATCAGGTGAAAATTCATATTGATATCGAGAGACGCTTCAATATTCAATATGGGATGAGCATTGTGGAGGTATGTTAGGTGTGTCGGAAGGTCGTCAAGGATACTGCAGGAGGTTGCTGGGAAGATGCATTGTATGGGTGTCGGAAGGCTGTCAAGGAGCCCGGTGGATAAGCTAGATGGCAGTACAGAACTGTCGATGATCCCAAAGGAAGAAGCGAATGGAAGGTTGCAGCCGATAATAAAGACAGAGACCGCTTGGTACATAATTGATATTGAAACTCTTGTCAAGCGAGGAGAAACTTTGACAAATAAATGGAACGAACTTTTAGTGTAGATTTGAATGACGTGGCAAATAAGCTCCAAAAAAGATGTGGTTTGACTAGTTTGACCAGAAATTTCTTTGTAAGCTTGACACAAGAACTCTAGCTACCGGTAGAGAGATACTTCAAGCCCAGAACGGAACTTCCAAAATTTCCAAAAACTGTCCAAAATGTTTTTTCGGAAGCACCCTGTCTACAATGTATTGCTTACTGTTATCATATGCAATTCAGTGCTGACAACTGCTCTCGCTACCAATAGTAGGATTGGGCTAGCAAGAAGATCTTGGACTTTCCACACAAAAAGGGCTACGAGTGTGCCAAGAACATTTGAAAGCAACAATGCAAGGGAATATCGGTTGAAACAGGGCAAAAATCCGATAGACAAAAGACATGTGGTGAAGTCAGTGACTGGGGCGACTCTTGGATTCCTCCTTATCAAGAATCGATTTGTTTTTGAGTATGCATTGAACCTTTACAGATCGTCCTTGTCGAATAGTCCCTTGCAAACCAAGGTTCTGACGGGTGCTACGCTTAGTTTACTTGGAGACTGGGCTGCACAAATTCGAGAAGGGAATGAGTCCACAACTTATGATATGAAAAGAGGACTGTCGTTTGCAGCCTTTGATTCGACATATCGCATGTTCCAACATGTAGCAATTCCTGTTATCGTCCGACTCGGGCAGGGAAACTTTTTGTTGTGGCTTGTGACAATAGCCCCATTTGTTAATCCTGGACCCAAGGCTTCTAGCTTTTTTGCAGCGATGGAAAGGACCTTGATTTATCAGTTTGTCCTCATTCCATTGGCGTATTATCCTGGTGAGTCCTCGTTTCTGGTTGATCGAAAGCCTTTGCACGAGTAAGCAGCTAACCGTAACTGTATCTTTAATTTCGAACCAGTCTTCTTCACATTCACGGGGCTGATGCAAGGATTGAGTCTATCAGAAACCTTTGCACGAGCAAAACGAACTTTCTTTCCGTGCTGGATCAAAAATGTCTCTTTCTGGATTCCAACACAGCTTGTAATGTTTGGGCTCGTCGACGAGAAGTGGCAAGTGCCTTTTGTTTGCCTGGTGGGAGTACTGTGGAGCTCAATTTTGAGCATCACCGCAGGTAAAGCAAGAGTAGAGAATTAACAATGTATATTTTTTGTACTTCTAGTGTTTTTTCATCGTGTACTAGTAGGATTGTAACTATGCACTCAATCAAATTATCAGTATTGATTTGTCTATAGCCCAGAATCTTTCAAGGTGTTGAAATGTTTTCCGATGGCAGCAAGCTTCGCTACAACCATCTGATCTTCAGCTAGTGTCGCATCCTTGTCGTCAAGATACGACAATAACGACTCGACTCCAAGAGCAATTCTCACAATGGCGTGCGAGTCACTGACATCAACCGGCTGGCCAATGTAGGTTGGTTTCGAGAGAGCCTCCTTCTCATTAGCTGTGGCATCAGCGACAAGATCAGAAACATCCATGCTCATCCAACGATATAAATCTCTCAGTTCACTCATGCTTAGCCAGCCATCGCCCTTGTTCACACGAATGCTAACGATACTACGCTGAACACACCATGCATCCAATGCTTGCTCTGAATTGGTCATTGTTGTCACCGCTTTCGCCCATTCGTTGACAGCATCGATTCTTACCGAGTCTGGAACTGAAGAAATCGCTTCCATCCCCGCCAATCCAGCCTCCCATCGGAATGCCAGCCCCACATTGCTGACATCATCGTTCTTGAGCAATGGCGACCAGCTTCCAAGACACGAGGGCAATTCTTTATCTGTAAGGAACCCACCAAGTCCTTGACTGTTGAACATGTCTGACTGTGCTGGTACAGAGGACGATCGAAGCTTTTCAGCTATCGTAGTAGGTACAATAACAGCGCCACAGAATGGAGGCGCCTGATAGAACTTGCTGGCGGTGAAGAGAACAAGCGAATCTTGTGCTAGCCACCCGTGTAGTTCATCAAGAGAGAATCGGGCCTGGCAAGCGTCAACAACCCCAAGTGTTTTCTCTCCACCATCTGCACTTCCAGGCATTTTGTTATCTCTCAAGCCAGTCTTTCCTCCGAAAACACCGTGAACAATAGGAAATGCACCCCTAACAAGAGCAGACTCTACAAATCGATCCATTTCTTCTGAAGCGTTGATAACACTGCCATCTTTCTCTCGTGCTGCAATAATGGCACCTTCAATACCCTCAAATCCATCGAGAACTTTCGCACCAGGGTCAAGGCGACCCATTAGGGGTGCGTGAGTAGAAAAGAACTGTCCCATCGAAGCAGGCGCAGTACCTGCGCCGACCTCCCGTAATTGCGTCACACCATTTTCAATTGTAACATCACCCTTTAGTGTTCGAACAATTGCGATGGGAAGATATTCTGCATCTGATCCAGAGGGACAGAGAATTACCTCGGTACCTTCAGGCAAGTTGAGGAGCTTCGAAATGCGGCTTCGTTGATCCGCGAAAACTTTTCTGATTTCCACGTCAAGATCCTTGCCTTCAAAGCCAACCAACTTTCCATACAGTTCTTTTGAAGCGTCATATCCACGTTGAGTTGGCGGATTTCCAGTGCAGCTTCCACGGAAGACATGAGCAGGGTTGACCGGCTGAGGTTTGATGTGATATTTGTTGGTGCGAACAGATGGATTGATTATGGATCTATCGTCTCCTCCAAGAGTAAGACTGGCTTCGAAATCACTGTAGCCAGATTCTATAGCAGTACCATGAGCTTCTTCATCAAACTTCTGCACAGCCAAGCTGGAAAATGGCCGGCTTGTCGAAGTACAAAACTTCCTCTCTGTTGTAGACGAGAATGTCCGGGCTTGTTGAAGCGAATGGCGCAACATTCCAACATTTCTTAGTCCTTCTCTTGTGTACATGTCACTCTTCCATGCTGCACCCATGGCTCTGCCTCCACCTTCCCAGAGCTTGACAACATGTTCCATTCCATGGAAGTTTTCGTCGTAGATTCTGCGGTAGTACAACTCTTCCTTTGTTTGCGGAGTGTTGATGGGGTATGTAATGTGGGCTTCGCCCATTTCTGCATCAGAGACTAGGGAAGAAACACGTCGTTGCAAGATTGCAACCCAATCTTCACCAACACCTTCGCACTGCATAGCCTTTGCTCTCCACAAGACTGGTCGAGGGATGGAATTGCCATCGCTGTTGGGGCCCTCGAACAACTCACGCAAAAATGTCTTTTCACGGCCTCGGGAGTTTGTCTTGACAGCCTCTTGGTCAACAATTTTCTTGGCGGGGTCGACGCTCATGACAAGTCGAGTAAACTCAGTGTCAAGAAATGGCACTCGAGCTTCCAAGCCATGAGCCATTGTCATTCGGTCGGTTCGGTGCAGGTTCACATTTCCGAGCATTCCGTAGATTCTGCGAAGCTCGTTTTGGAGTTGTCGTGGATTCTCAGCATCTTGGAAGTAGAGGTATCCGGCAAAGATCTCATCAGCTCCTTCACCGGTCAATACCATCTTGACATCTTGCGCGGCTCTTTCGGCGAGCAACCAGTTGGGGATAGCACTTCGGATCAACTCAGCTTCGTAGGTTTCCATATGGTAGATGATCTTGGGAACAAGATCGAATACTTCATCGGGTGTAAACGATCGGATGTGGTGCTCAACATGCTTTTCACCACCAAGGGCATCGACCATGCCACGTGCAGCCATTACATCTGGGCTATTTTCCATTCCCACAGTGTACGCTGGGATTGGGCGATCGTCACCGAGCTTCGCCCTTTCTTCTCGCCATAAAGGCAAGAGGTCATGAGACACGATGCACGAGTCGACGCCACCAGATAAGAAGAAGCCATAGTCAACGTCAGACATCATGCGCTTTTGGACAGCCTTGGAGAAACCTTCTCGGATTTCATCGTCGGTGACAGTATGGTTGGGATCTTCCCATGGTGCATAGTCGTCGTTTCGAAGCCACTCAGGATTGTAGTAACAGACTAAGCCTTTCTCTGGAGTCCAGTAGTGTCCTGGAGGAATGGCAACAACAGTGCTGGGATCGACGTGCCCAACAAGCGCCTTGAGCTCACTTGAGAAAACGTATGCGGCAGCATCGTCACTACTTTTTGAGCACTTGGTTCTTCCGTAGTACAAAGGCTTGATTCCGACTGGGTCTCTTGCAGCAAATGCCTTGACTTCACCTGTTACGACATCCTCTTCAAAAACAACAAATGCAAACATACCATCAAGGCTAGCAGCTGTCTTGGGCCCACCCCATTGGGCAAAAGCGTGAGCAATAACCTCGCAGTCGGACCCAGAGATACGATCATGGTTCCAACCTTCCTTGGCGACAAGATCCTTGTATACAATATTATGGTTGTAAATTTCTCCATTGGCAGCAAGGTGAATGATTTTGTCTCCGTTCTTGGTTTTGAAACCCAAGTTGAAAGGCATGTCGGCAGATCTGTTCGACGGATCAACTATGGCAAGACGAGTGTGTCCCATGGACCAACGGGCCAGGGTCTCTCCCTCACCAACAGTACCAGCGCTAATTTGCATACCATCTGGACCACGGTGGTGAAGAATCTTGGAGGCGGTGTTCATGGTTTCCTTTCCCAAGATGGAAATATTGTTGCGAGCGCTGGAAGTCTTGCCCCAGACATCATCAATTGCAGCAACAAGACCGCACATATCTCTTCTGAGAGCGCACGAAGCACCATTATTGATCTTCAACTGGTGTGCAGCATTTCGCTTCAAAAGAGCATGTGCTCCGAGGCGAAAGACTTCCATTTTGCTGGGCTGCTAAATCCTGTACTTTCGCAGAAATTATGCGAAGTCTTTCCTGAATGGCGGTTGTCTGATGTCACTCGACCGCTTTGACTAACATAACTTCAACAACATCTACATCACTTCGGACGTAGATTTGCTGTAGAACGGTACCAGGGTACACTGACTGTATCTGGTACCAGTAGCTATCGGTACACTGTTCCAGGTACTGGTACCAGGTACGGTATGAGTGAAGCATATAAATGTACATGGTACAGTAGAGTCTGCAAATGGTGGGAAAGCAGACATAAAGTGCCGTAAAGGCTAAAAAACTAATAACAAATATTTACTAGTCGACAGAGTCGAGCATCAGCGTTGGTCGACTGAATCGTCGGAAAAACGACGAAAATTTTGTGGTTCAGGAGCGGCCTGGAGCGGCCTGAAATGGCAGACTTGCTGGGAATGTCCTCAGATATGTCATAGATTCCCTGCAAGGATGACGGAAACTGACGTGCCGGTGACAGATTCTGCGCAATGCAGAGCTTGGGCTTCGCTGAA